GGGTCCCCCCACCGCCACAGCACGCCGCCTGCTATTTTTGTTTTTCCCCCCAGTTTGGGCACTTGGGCCCAAAAAGGTTCCCTGCCACTGAAGACGGTACTACACATGAGATTTTGACGGTTTAGTAGAAATTGGGGGCACAGGTTTAATAAATAGAAAACATTTTTTTAATTATCCACAAGGAAATGTGTGGTCTTCCAGACTTTACAAGACTCTACCCCCTAACCAGATCCAACCAGCATGGCTGGGAAGGCTGCAATTCATAGCAAAATTTATGGAAGAGCAGGTCCTGATATACTGAGGTGAAGATCATCTTCAATGTCCAAAATGCATGCTCAAAGTAGTAATAGTAGTAATAATAGTAAAAGAAGGGACATTGAGGAACAGGAACAGAATGCAACAGTCTGAATACATAAAGCACAGCATGTGTATCCTGAGATAATGCTACTGAAGTGGCCCATTCTGGTCAAAAGTAGTCTACTACACACACACACACACCACTTGATCCTAGCCAAAAGGCCGAGAAGCGATAAAAGTACTCTCATTATCTTAAAGTCTTAATTTGTTTTAATTTTATCTATATTTCATACACATTGGTAAATTTAAATTGTGCAATGCTCTGATATGAATAAAGAAATGAAGCGTATGGAAATAAAAGTTTAAGAGCGCAACAGTACACAACATGCTTTGTTATGATTGTTGTCTCCACACAGAAATCTTAAATAGCTGCCATTGCCTATTATCAAGTAGTCGAATCTGGATTACACTACGATTCATATCAACAATTTTTTCCCAAATTTCACTTGCTTCTCAGAGGGTTAGTTATGAACACGTGTATTTTAACATTCAGAATAAACAAATGAGTTGAGGCAAGCCAACTGTAATATATTTCCATGAATTTTATAACATGTCATGGCAATGGAAAAAATATGCAATTGGGTAAATGCCTGCAATTAACAAGACAGTAGATAATTAGGAGCTTTATATCCCAACCTGGTATTATGCCAGATCCTTTCTTCTTTTTATCCTCTACAAATTCATAGAATGGGCCTAATACATGTAGTAGTTCTTCAACTTTGTCTGTCATTGGCACAGTTTCAAGAATCTGTAGCAATATAGAATGTTTGCAAACAATGTATCAGGTAATGACATATCCGACACATTCTGGTACTTCCTAGAAGAGTACATCTTTCTTAATAAGCCTTAATTGTAACACTTAATTACACAAACACTCCATATAGTTATATGATGAAATTTCATAAAGAAATATTAACAAACTGTATTTTTATGTACTACAAATGAAGGATCTGAAAGCTACATCAGTTTGCTGGGTAAACAAAACATTACCAAACACTGTCCTTTAAAATGGGCAAGACACATCATTGCTACTATGATATTCTTTTTCTTTCTCTCACTAGATCTGGATGGCATATTCAGAGCCTCACTGCAATTGATATATTTAAGCCACAATTATCTGGCAATCCTAATGAACTAAGCCGAACTGACTGCCGAGAACCAAACTGCACATAAAGTGAGCACACGGGTGCAAGCAAAACTCCTTAGATCATGGAAAATACCTGTTTGTCATCCACACAAGTTTTGATTTAAAAGTCAAGCCATTAAAACATGGCAATAATGTGTAGCCTGCATAATTAACTTGTAAAACGCCCAGAGAGTGCTTGAAGCGCTATGGGGCGGTATATAAGCAGCACACTTTGCTTTATAATAATTTGGGGGAATGTTCAACATTTTTATTATATTGCTTTCAACAGAATCTTCTATGGAAGAATTATGGGAGTGAAACTTAACTATTATTAGTCTAAAATTATCAGCACAGGCAGTAGCTGCACAGCCGATTTTGCTTTACGTAGTGGTGGGTGATCTCAGTGGAGCCAAGGGCCATTTCCCTGATTTTCTGGTAGCCCAAGGGCAACATTCTCAATGGAACATGGCTAATGTGCATATCAATCTTAAAATTATTATTCTACTTTTACATTTCTTAATGCAGTAGTTATGTACTCTAAAAACTGGGAGAGTGGACTTTTGTTAACTGGACAAATGTATTTAATTAAATGAGTTTTTAAAAACTGGAAATCTCTCTTGCATCTTCAAGAGAATTTAGTACTTTGACATCTGATTTAGTAGCATCTCAAAATCAACTACAGTGTACGTTACATAACACACTAAGGCACTAGGTTTATGCCTTAGAATAAACATGAGCAGAATGTGTGTGCATGCTTAAAAGCAAATTTGACTCAGCTTTAAGCTAATATTTTGCTTATTCATCTTCTCTGAGCTCAACTTCTTATTTGTGTGCATACACTTCAACTACATTGATAGCAAAAAAATCTGATGTCACTGAACCTAACAGGAACAGGCCTATAACAGAGACTTATCCCAAAAGCTGTTTGGTCTCAGGCAAGAAGCTGGCACTAGTCCCATGGAATTGTTTTTCTCTGAACAGCTTCTGCGTGTACCATGGCATTAAGTAACTCTGAAACTTTTCTCAGTTTCATAAGCAGCTCAGCAAAGCGACATCAGCATTAAGAGAAAATGCCCCAAGCATATACTTTCAAAACTCTTTGGCTCATGGCCGAAATTTTATCTTCATGTAATTTAATACAGAATGGCTGAAATCCTGTTGCTTAGTGTAGTAAGTTGTACTAGTGCAGACCCACTGAATCAGTGGGGATCTGGTGAGTTATCTCCTCCATATACTCCGTTAATTCAAAAGGGCTTACACTAGTTGTAGGATTTCAGCTTATACAGTATAATACAATGCAATATATTATATAGCAGACTAGTGTGGTCTTATAGGCCAGATGGGCGGGGCATAAATCAAATCAAATCAAATAAATAAATAAATAAATAAATAATATAAACTTTCCAACCTCCTATTTGTGCTATCATTTTGAACAGTAAATAGTTTGAATTCTAAAATGTTGACTTCATCAATTTAATCCTTCCTAAAGATGACTGTACAGTCTGATTTCTGTCACAAAGATGTTGATGGGGATTCTTACTAAGCCTGTGCACCATCTTCAGACATATGTACAAAGCCAGCCTCAGTCCTGGGTATCTGAAAGATTCAGGGTGAAGCAAGGAACTGTTGTTCATGCACAAGGTGAAGTAACACCACAACAGATTGTATCTCATTTAGGATTTTACAGATTAAGAGGCTGGTCCATTATTTGAGCTGAAGGGGAAATAAAAAGTAATATACAGTGGTGCCTTGCTTAGCGATTGCTCCGTTTAGTGAAGAAATCGCTTTGCGATGATGTTTTTGCGATCGCAAAAGCGATTGCTTTGCGATGGTCCCTATGGGGAAATTTCGCTTTGCGATGATCGCAGGGAAGCGATCCATTTTACAGATTAAGAGGCTGATCCATTATTTGATCTGAAGGGGACTTGCAATACTGTACAGATAGCCCTTCTGTGTTCTAGCAAGGTTCTTTTTATTTGTTCTCTCACACACCTTGGTTTACTTCCTTTACTGGGGTTGGATTTGATGGCCTTGTAGGCCCTTTCCAACTCAATTATTCTATAATTGTTGTAGTATCAGGATATTTGCCACAGTATTCTACGTATTCTATAATGTAACAGATTAAGCCCAAAGGAACGCATTGAAGGGGTTTCAATGCGTTTCTATGGGCTTTTTAATATCGCTTAGCGATGTTATCGCTTAGCAGCGATTTTTTCTGCACGGATTAACATCGCTCAGTGAGGCACCACTGTAGTATACTGAGGGCTGATGTCATAGGTGAAGGAAAGTGACAGATCAAGATCTTCTCTAGACAGTCACTAAAGAGGGCTGAAACTGAGGTCACCATGCCATACATGTATCCCACTGCAGCCACTCTGCAGAGCTGTATGGCAAAGATAAATACTTGCAATACTGTACAGATAGCCCTTCTGTGTTCTAGCAAGGTTCTTTTTATTTGTTCTCTCACACACCTTGGTTTACTACATTTACTGGGGTTGGATTTGATGGCCTTGTAGGCCCTTTCCAACTCAATTATTCTATAATTGTTGTAGTATCAGGATATTTGCCACAGTATTCTACGTATTCTATAATGTAACAGAATAAATGAAAACCACTCTTGCTGAACTCAATTGCAGCCCAACTATATATATTTCTTTACATAACAGTTTATGAAATACAGATCATTCTTCAAAATTTCAGAGATACTATGAAAAAGTTCATTTGAGGAATAGTATGAAAACCTTAACAATTAGTTTTTTGTTCACTGTAATATTACTTCATAAGAAGTATTTATGCTTAACAGATCAGTTAAAAAATCTCAGGTGAATGAGAACCTCTGATTCTTACATTAGTTTAGCATTTCATAAGCAAAATGCAGCTTCATTTTTGGTGGCTGTTTAGTTTTGGAAGGTACGATAACCCCACAGAACTGAATAGGCTATACATATTTTATATAGTCGTCCAAAGTTTAACTTCCAATGTGTTTCACTTTCAAATAATTGAGTACTTTGATAATGTATTTCTTTTAAAATATATTAAATCTGGGAGAGCTAAGCCCCTTCTAAGCAAGATTCCACTTAAAAATAATAATAACTTGCAGAGTTTCATTCTTCTCCACAGATAAAATCCAGTTGCAACTACAGGCCCATTGAATCAGTGGAACTTACATAGGTATGGACTCATCAAATCTTGAGTGATTCAATGGGCCTACTCTAATTGCCACTTACTATTGGATTTCAATCTACATCTCTAATTTTGCTGTGAATTAACTCCAATTCAAGCAACTCTTTCAAGGCTGTTCAGTACCATAAACTTTCCTAAAGCACCTCACTAGAATTGGACATTTCCTTTTCATGACAGAGGTTCTCTAAAACTGAATATTATGATAGGCTGCACAGAGCAAAGTCGATCAAAAAATTGACAGAAATCCCTTCTAAAGCTTAGTTAGACACTCAAGCTTCCAGAGCCTAGAACTGAAACAGCTATGGAATATTTGTTTTCTTTTCCATATCGAGTAACTCTTACCTTTTTCATTTCTTCAACATAGGCAATCATGGCCTCTTCTTTGGGCATATCCCCTAAAGCACTCCATGCATCCCTGTGATGAAGACAATAAACATCTTCAAAACACCATAAAGCTGAGTACATTTCTGTAACATTAGCTCTTGATTCTCAATGTATCTTTGATTTGACAATGACAGCATCATAACTAGATAAGTCCCATTGATTTCAATAAGTCTGGCCAAAGCATGACTATGTATCTTACATTTTATTCTGTTATTTACACCCCTTTTCAAACACTGGAATGTTCCAATTTTGCCTCAATCAAAATTGTATGGGATTCTTAATTCATATGGGATTCTTAATTCAACCAGGAATGTTCGGGGCCAACTCCTCAATGAACCTTGCCAATTTACAGACGGAGTTCTTGTCTTCACACTCTGGACAGTTGCCAGATCTCACTTGTTTTGAACCCACAGAAGTTGTTGTGGAATCACCAAATGTTAAATCAAGTACATGTGTTAATATTTCAAAAGAGGCTCAGTCGTCATTTCCTGCCAAAAGAGAGGAGCTGCTTCAAATCTTTAACAAACCATATCACAATGTCTATCGTATCTCTTAAAATTTCCTGAAATAGATAGATTTCTATAAATATAATATTAAACACTCTTGTCTTACTGGGATAATTAGTCAATCAATTTTTACAAGTTTTTCTGGCTCTTCAGAGGTTTTCTGTAACACTTCAAAAACTTGAAAAACTTGTTTGATAGACCATGCATGAATTAGCAGGAGAAATACTCCCTCATAGGGATCAGCAGCTTGCAGAACCCTGATCTAAATCTGCAGCTTCTAGTAAATGGTACACACATATGTAACAATTTTATTTATACTGGATTTGTATGAAGTCTATAGAAAAATTGAGCCAGTGCTGTCTCTACATTGCCATCATCCTTGTCAAATGATTTTCTGGCAGTGAATATCAAATTAATTTGTAGTCAACATCAAAATCCTACCCATCCCTCCTCCAAATTTATGAAAAACTATCTATATACTAAATATTTTGGTAAACCACTCTTCTTTTATCAATCAAGGCCTTTTATGAAAGTTAACCTCTGCTTCCATCTCCTCATATCTATTTAACATACCATAGCATATACTAGGCACATTTTAAGTCCAAATCACTAAGATACAAGTATTGTACCTGTCTAGCTATTATATGACAAAACTGATGCATTTGGGGGACCGGATTTCTGAAATGGCCTCAGGGCTTCATTAAAAAAACAAAAAGCCAACTGAGGACAAGCTTTACCATATGTTTATATTAAAGGAGACATATATACAGTATATGATTGTACTACTTTGGCATCGTCCAAAAGTAGCAGCCAGAGAAATGTACAACTGCCTAGTACTGAATCAAGCCATTATTCCATCTATCTCAGTATTGTCAGCTATGACCAACAGTGTCTCTCCATCTTTTCAGAACCTCCCCAAAATTTGTCAGTGATTGGGACCTTATGCAAGCAAAACATATGCTCTTCTATCACTGAGGATGGCCCTTTTACTCAAAAAACTTTTATAGTCCTACTTCTCTTCTCTTGGGCAGGTTTTGTCTAAATATAATTTAAAACATTTTTTCTCCTGTGCATGATATTTACCATTTATATCTACCAATGGGGTCCCAAAATCCAGGTCTCGGACTATTACAAGGTCCTTGTGTGGCTTGCTTATAAAAGCTATAGAACTTGAGCATCATTTCATTTGATGGCTGGAACGAACCTATAGAAGAAATTTTCAAAGTAAGAAATACTATAAGCTATTGTTACTTTTAAACATGTTATTTTGTAAAAACAGAATACTGATTGCTTGGCATGAAGTTCCTGGGTCCTGAGAGCAACAACAGTACTGTACACATGAAAAGAACGATAGTTAAGAGTTTCTTTTAGCTACACCAGTTTCAAGTGGAAACAGAAAACCCAATTGACTGCACCTCCTGTTTCTATTTACCTTCACTTTATGATATGAGAGGATCTAGAGACCAAAGTGCTCTTGTGCCAATACAAAGAAACATGTCTACTGTACTTTTAACTTTCACAATTAACCATGTCATTGTAGTTTGTAATTTTTGCTATGGGTGAAATCAATGTGTGCAGAGCAGAATGAACATGTGATTCATGATACTCCTGATACTATTGTTATATTTTTTTTGACTTTTTTAATGGCTGTTTCATGTTGGAATTTGACAAAACTACTGTCATCACGATGGTAGCAAACATTAAGTCCTATGTTGACTTTAGCACTGAAGTGCTAAAGAAACAACCAAAGAAATTGAGAACATTAGGGAAAGAGCTACAAGGCATTTTAATACAAAACTCTTTTACCCCATTTGGCAGCTTAGGATATTCAGTCCAGTTGCTTCAAGTACTATAATAGTATCTGTTGAACAACCTGCTCTCAAAGCCAGCTCAGTACAACCTGCCCTACTGAAACTAATGTCAGGAGCTGATATCTTAATTGCCTGTTCTACCACTTTAGTTTTGTGGTGTGTCTTACCTCAACTAATCTCAGATTAGTCATATACGTGTATGTGTGTTGGCCTGCGTATATAGAGGTGGGAGAGAGTGAGAGCTGAAAAGGCGTCTACATATCTGTATCACTGGACCATTTCCCAGTTTGATGCATAAACTGAAAAAATTCTGAAGTCATGAAGAAGAGATGAAAATAAAATTTAAAAATACAGATCTTGAAAACTATTCCATTTCCTAATGTTACTGCATTGCACATGGTGGGAAGATGTTCATCACACTAAAGGCTCTCATTATAGATACATACCAACATTTCATTTCCTGCCAGGAGCAGGAATACCTTCAGCTGTATTTAAGGAAGAACCCTTACATGATCTCAAAACACATTCTCATACCATAAATCTATTAAAGCCCAGTTCCAACCAACTAGTGTTGGCTCAGCTGTTTCTAACCAAGAGCCAGCTGAGCCAACACTAGATCAGGTGAAACTTTCCACAAATACAAATCCCATAATGTCTAAGAACACTGAAAATCACTTAGAACTAATGTCTCACTGGCCTAACCTTGTGGTTTGCCCCTGAACATTTGGCTCTGGAATAACAACTCAATTTCTCCCTCATTCTGCATCTTCTTAGCCTCCCTTATTTTATTTTATTTTATTTTAGTCCTTACGAGGTATAACCTAATCAGGAGAGCCCTTCTGCAGGTCAATCAGCCGGCTAGTAAAAGATGGTTCTGTTAACAGAATAAGTTTATGCCTAATGTTAACCACCTACAACCAATTCATCCTTGACTTAAGATGGCTTTTTTGTGACAAATGCCTCTTTACAGTTCGTGACATCACAGATGAAATTTAATGCACACTTATCTGGAAATAATTCCCACTGAACCCAGTGTGTCTTGCTGCTTGAGAGCATTCAGAGAGCAGTCATGTTAGTCTCGCAACAAAAACCACGGAGCCTTTAGGCACCTTGAAGACTAATAAGCTTTATTTAATGCAAGTTCTCATGGACTGTAGTCTGCTTCATCAGGTGAATGTTTTAACATGCCACACAACTTGTTGTTACTTCTGAGTAGACAAGTACAGCACTCCACTGTAAGGGCTACCTGGCCTCCTACAAAGTTGTCCAGTTATAACAACCAAGGGCCCTTTTCCTATTATAATTTAGTGATTTAGATATCTGGGTGGAGAGCCAGAGGTTGGGAGTTCGATTCCCCAATGTGCCTTTTAGATAGGAACTTGACTGGATGGTCTACTGCACTGGTTCTTAGCCTTTGTCACTCAGATGTTTTTGGACTGCAACTCCCAGAAGCCTTCACCATCAGCTCTGCTGGCTGGGGTTTCTGGGAGCTGCAGTTCAAAAACACCTGAGTAACAAAGGTTAAGAACCACTGGTCTACTGTAAAGGGTCTCTTATAGCTCTGCAGCTCTAAGATTAAGTCCTCAGACTGACAGAAGTGATGCAGGCAGTGACCAATGACCAGGCCCTCCTAATTACAGTACTGAAATTGTGAAATTTGTCTCCTAATAATTTTTGCTCTATCCAACTCTAATTTCTTTCCAGTGCAAAATCAATGGCTTTTTTATTCACCCAGGAGTTTAAGCATTTTGGTTTTTTTAGTGTATATCATATCATTCATTATAAAACCTATGTTTTATACTGCTTTCTCTTTAACGAAATTAATAATTTTTGCTCTATCCAACTCTAATTTCTTTCCAGTGCAAAATCAATAGCTTTTTTATTCACCCGGGAGTTTAAGCATTTTGGTTTTTTTGTGTGTGTATATCATATCATCACTTATAAAACCTGTTTTATACTGCTTTCTCTTTAACGAAATCTTAGAGGCAACTGCCTAAAAAGAAGGATATTTTTTTAAAAAGTTAGGAATAGTTTACCTGATCCAAAAAGGACCGGCAGGTCCAAAGCCATATATTTTTTTTAAATGTTCTTGCAGTGAACAAATATTCTTCTAACTCATGCTGTACCTAGAGCATTGCTCACTTTTTTTGTTAAAAAAAAATTTTTTTTAAAGTTAGGAATAGTTTACCTGATCCCAAAAGGACCAGCAGGTCCAAAGCCATACTGTATATTTTTAAAAAATGTTCTTGCAGCGAACAAATATTCTTCTAACTCATGCTGTACCTAGAGCATTGCTCACTTTTTTTGTTAAAAAAAAAAAGACTGGATACTTTATTTATTCATTCATTCGATTTATACCCTGACCCCCTAGACAGCGTCATATTCTTCTAACTCATGCTGTACCTAGAACATTGTTCACTTTTTTTGTAAAAAAAAGACTGGATACTTTATTTATTCATTCATTCGATTTATACCCTGCCCCCCTAGACAGCGTCTACTCGGGGCGGCTTACAAAATCATAAAATTATAAAATAACAATAAAAACATCACAATAAAAATAAACAACATTCATAATCATAAAAAAACATTTGAACAATAATATAGCATGATCAAGATGGGGAATCCAAGAACAGAAAGATAGAATTCAGGAACTGACATGAGGGAAAGCCTGCCTGAAGAGCCAAGTTTTTAAATGGCTCTTAAAAACACCCAGCGAGGTGCTTTTAAGAGCCATACGTAGCAATCTTGAGCACACTTGCAATCAGGCTGTGGCTTCACCTTCTTTCAGAGTAGCCACAGGGGCTGGATTGGCAGCAGAAAACCCCTCAGGGGTACACTATACACATTGGAACCCCCCAAAAGACCTAGAATGCAGACTCGCCATAGCAGTGGCGACATACTAGGGAGAACCCACTTCAGCACCGACTGCACTTACCCCCCCCACACACACACCTCCCTGGAAACAGGCACTCCAAAAGTAGGGCTGTTTCTCCTCTTTTGAGGAATGGGGTTCCTATATTCATTGGGGAGGGTCCTCGCGTTATCTGCCCACTCTTTCTTTCTTCCCCCCCCCTTCTGCCGCCCCTCTTACCGTTTTTCGGCAGACTCTGAATCACCTTCACGGCCGCCTCAAACCGGGTCGCGTAGACCGAGCCGTCGTCGCTGTTCTCCGTCTCCGCCATGTCGTGCCTCCGCCTCTCCGCTGGGCCTGAGGTAAATCGCCCGGGAGTCGCCGCCGCGTCGTCGTCGTCGTCGTCCTAGCCGCCGCCACCGGCGCCTTCCCTCCCTGGGGAGAACCCTGCAGCTAAGTGAACCCAAGACATACCGAGGTCGGGCTGCCCGAGGGAAGAAACGGGAAGGCCGCGGCCGTCTCCGCCCCTTCCAGCCGGAGGGAAAGAGAAATTGAGAGCGAGAAACTTAACCTCCGGAGCTCTATTCTCGCTCACTCGGACTCCCTTTCCGTTGTTTCCCGAGTCAAATGGTCGTGTGAAGGCGGTGGTGGGACTACATGTATTCAGTTACAGGGGAATCCAGTGCATCGTTGACAGATATATAAATCCCACATTGTAGGGGGCTAGTAAGGATTCCTGCCATTGTGTACATCTAGGAGCAAGCCCCGTTGAATTCCTTGGGGCAGATTTTCATACATATTTAAAGATCGCATTGCAATCTCAAAAGAGACCCTAAGCTTTTTCACTCAGCCCCTTGGTCCCACCCCTCCGTCTCTGGAATTGGTCTATGCATTAATACTGATGGCATCACCATGTATGTGGCACTTGACAGAGATTAAAAGGACAGATCCTTGCCCCCAAGGGCTTACAATAGAAGACAGAAGCAAAGGAGACAACACAGCAAGGAGAGGCACTCAGGAAAGAATATGGGACTATTTCAGTTACATAAAGTATTTAAAAGTATGTAGTTAAAGTAAAGAATTGTGAGTAGGGCGTTTGTCTCAAAGGCTTCACCCACTTTTTTACTACCCATCTTTCTCTGTTTTTTAAGTTCAGCTCTCAGTAGATAAATAAATTAAGAAACATATTAAAACTGCACAGCTTAGACTTTGCTTGCTTGGAAGTTAACCCCAGTAACTCTCAGCTCTACTTCGGGAATCAGCGATACCACTTATATAGCACGTGTTTAATTAGAAGGAGGACCTATTAATTTAATATGTTACTCCCAGGATCAGTTATAACGTGTTAAATGCAAGTCGACAGCCACTCCCCTCTAGATGCTGTGCTCACTTCATTATATATCAGAAGTGTCATTCACAACATTCACTAAAAAGGGGGGAATTTGGGAGGGCTGAGATCGGCAGCATTTTAACGATGTTAACATTTTGTTGGCAATCCTTTCTGCGGAGCATAATTCCTATGCACTACTATTGATCGTGCTTGCACGCTTGTCCTCTTTTGTCCTCCACTTTTCCAGACCCAGAATGTCCTATTCGCCAGGTCTGAACACCCTCCACCGTTTGCTCCCCGAGCTCCGATTTATTCAGAAAGTGTTTGCACAACATTGCAACGCTCTTTGGCCCTCCAGGCTGCCTCGTTAATAATTACACTTGCTATTACAGGGACATGCATGTTGCTCTGTAGCAAAGCTCTCTGCATAAACAAGCATTATTCTTTTATCCTCACCAAAATTATACCTGAAAACTTCTTCCAGGTAATTTCATCTACGATCACTCATCCCACCCGTATAGGTACACAAAGCTTTCAAGTAGCTCTCCAAAGCCATTTCTAATCCTGCATCAATAATAATCCGAGGCACAAAACACACCACCCATTATTGCTATTCACCTAATATTATACACTGTTCCAGAGATAGAAAGGGAAGAAACACCTACACATATCCAACCGATCCCTTCAATTACAGGCAGAACATGACAGCTAAAAACACAAACAAAAAATATTCTTTTCTCCTACCTCCTATAATAAAATGTCACCCCACCCCCGCAAGCAGGCCAATCTGCTGGCAGCACTGAAAAGTAACTGAGCTTCCCCCTTACTTCCCAATAATAAAAGGGAAATAACGAGCTGTATTTTAACAAAAAACACGCACAACCCCCGTTCCTACCTCAAAGTGACAGGCTCCACTAACCTTTGCCCACGGTTCGGGCTTGCCTCCCGTTAATGTCTTCTAACAGCTCGCAACTCAATTCTAGTCCCGCCTCTTAAAGAGCATTCTGGGAAATGTAGTCCACAGTCTTTTATTTCCTCCCTCTGGCATTCCACCTACCATGGCAACCCTTTCAGGTTTTTTCCTCCAAAGACATAGGAACTCTTTCTCTCCTTTGAACTCTGGATACGTCCAAGTGCGTAAGATATAAAAATCGATCCTGTTTCAGCACAGGTGAAAAATACACCATTTTGTCTGTGAATTATTGCCATTTTAAAGTTAAAATCAACTCAAATGTTTACCATTACTTCTATTCTTCTTATTATTATTATTAATGGGTGAGTTTTAGCAGGAGTTGCACGATCATCATCATTGCTGTGTGCATGATACGTTACAGAATACAATGTAAGAGATCTCCTGTATTTGGTGTTCTCCGGACTATTTTCACCTGCCACTTCCATTTAAAAAAAATCTTGATTTCAGTACTGTAGAGGTGAGCATTAGGTGATCTTCTACGTGATGTTGGGTCACAACTCCTATCAGCCTATCTAGCAGAGCCAATGATGGGAGGTGCACTTGGAGTTATACCCCACACTTTGCCCAATCCTGTTCTGCTAAAAGAAACTGGGACACCACTTTCAGAGAGCAAAGAAATGCCAGTACACCCTCTATTGCATCAGCACTGTCAACTGCAACTAGATTCATTTCAACAGCCTACTGATAATCTTCTAAGATCCCCCATGTCCCCAGATTATTAAAATAATACATCTCCAATCTAGATCATCCAATCCTTCCTTCATTTTCCTGCTAGGTGAAGGCTGCCATGGTTCTAAACAAGTTTAATGTATTCTTTTTGTAAAAAAAAAAAAAAATATAACAAAATAGACCCCACTCTTCAGTATTGGAATTTCCAGCTGATTGGCTAGCTATCAGGTTAAGTCAGTTAACCAAATCCATATTGTACCAACATGTATCAAACAGTAGAACAATAAAACAGGCCAGAACAAGAGTAAAGACATAAAAAGTACAGTATCTTAAAAGTTCTGAGAATTTTCATTTAAAAAAAAATTTTTTTACCTTTGTCTGGCGCTGAAAAGAAATAAGAGAGAGTTCTGGTGCCAGACAACTCCCCCGATGAAAGTGTTCCAAAACGGAGGTGTCACAACCACAAAGGTTTGTGCCCTCTTACCCCCACCTACTACAGGATAGACAGGGATGCTGAGAGCAGAGCCTCCGGGGAGAATCCTAGTGTAGCTGATCTTCACTCTCTCCAACAAAGGGATGCCGACTTCTCCTTGTTCTTTCCTGGATTTTAGGAGGGCTTGTAAAGCTCATCTTTTTAATTTGGCCTAGTGCTGCAATGGCTGGACTGTTGCTGGATGGTGTTCTGTACTTTGTACCTGTTTATATATTACATTTTAACGTGTGTTCCACCTTTTGGAAACCTCTTTAAGGTAGGAAGGATAACATGCCTTAAGGAGAAGGCATTGAACCCTTTGAAACCAATCAAACCCACTCTTTGTAAAGTGTCATGTACAAAGATGGCACTATATTATTGTTATGATTAATTAACCGTAATAAAGTAAATAAGAGATTTGTGACAAATTAAAGAAAAGTACATGTTATTTGGCACAATTTTGTGGAGTTCTGCCCATTTCATCAATACATGGAGTTCTCCTTTGGTTGATTATTCTGCATATGAAAATACTGACACCAGGCTGACATCAGGAAATGCAACATTTAAAAAATATGTGGGAAGATGCATCAGTCTCCCAGACTACTCTGCCTCCAACCTCAGGCACTTTAAAGGTAGATTTAAAACAATTGAGCAATCAAAGAGCTGTAATTAATATCTCCTGTGGCTTGAACAAACATAGTCATTTTATCTTATTGCACATGTTGTCAGCTCATCAGTGCAAGAATATTGCATTTCTATTCAACCACTGTTTGCTAACAGCCACTGTTAAATTTATGGTCGCTGTGGCTCATCAGTTTCCTCTAATCTAAATCTGATCCATTATAATTTGTCACCTACTCAACACCCATCCAAACATGTGTATAATAATCTATATGTGAAATAACACTCCATGCACCTGATGTATGTAGCCCATGAAGCACTATGTCAAATAAAATACCAGCCTTTAAGGTGTCACAAGACAGAGGTGATTTTCATAAATTGAACGCTCTCCACCATCCCGCTGCCCCAAAGGCCTTGTCAGACCAGATGTCTATTTCTGGTTTCTTAGAATTTCTCTTTCCAGCTCCCAAGAGCACCTCTTCAGGCAGGATTGCATTTATACATTTGCGAGCTTCCCTTGGTGACGCTGCGGGCTAAACCGCAGAAGCCTGTGCTGCAGGGTCAGAAGACCAGCAGTCGTAAGACCAAATCCACACGACGGAGTGAGCGCCTGTCGCTTGTCCCAGCTCCCGCCAACCTAGCGGTTTGAAAGCATGCAAATGCGAGTAGATAAATAGGGACCACCTTGGTGGGAAGGTAACAGCGTTCCATGTCTAAGTCACACTGGCCATGTGACCATGGAAGATTGTCTTCGGACAAATGCTGGCTCTATGGCTTGGAAATGGGGATGAGCACCGCCCCCTAGAGTCGAACACGACTGGACAAAAATTGTCAAGGGGAACCTTTACCTTTACCTTGCATGCTGTGTGTTTTACTGCACATGAGCCAATCTTCTAGTGTCGAGTAAGGTTGACCCACTGAATCAGTTGTTGAATGTCAATATTTGCATAAATGCGACTGATTTATTAGTACTACTGTAATTAGGATTACCAAGATGGTTCTGTCTGTACCAAGGATAACATGTCTTAAGGGGAAGGCACTGAACCCTTTGAAACCAATCAAACCCACTCTTTGTAAAGTGTCATGTACAAAGACGGCACTATATTATTGTTATTATATTGCCTTTGTTCTTACCCAGGACAGTAGCTGCTTCCTTCTCAATTTCATCATCACCTTCTAAAAGAGCTGCATTTGAACATCTCCTGTTTTTTCTCTGTCTACCACAACTAGAACTAGATGAGGACATCAACTATTTTTAAAGTGTAGGGTACAATCTGATGATACTTTATCTTTCATTCTGGACAACTTTTGGGACGGTCAGGTTCCATCTGTTTTCCATGACATACTAGCAGCTGCGAACCAGACTGACTCCTTTAGATGGCTATCTGCACCTTTTTGGATCACTGGCATGAGTGACTGTTTTGTTTCTATTTTCAGTATGGGTAGGCTCCTTCTGTTTTAATTTGGTTTCTGTTATGTGTGATCGCCAGTACTGAACAAAAAAAAAGGGAGTGTTTTCCCTAACAAGGCATTGCTGTGTCACTTGGGTGGCAAGTGAATGAAGTGATATGGCACTTACCAATAAATGAAAAAAAAAAGCCAGCCTTTTCCTGCTATGCACAGTGAGGGTGACAGGAGAAGATGCAGAAGGCAATTTCTTCCCCCTCTGCCTTTGCCGCCCTTTTTCCTTACAATCCAGTACAGTTTAATTTCAGTGGCAAGCCACTGAAGTGATATATCACTTACCAGTAAAAGAAAAAACAAAACAAAACACCCAGTTTTCCATGCTCTTTGGGGAGGGGGAGACAGAAGAGGGGGCAGAGAGGGATCTCTTTTTTTTTCTTCCTCTCCTTTTTTCTTACAGTCCAGATTTGTTTGTTTCACTTCAGTGACAAGCCAGTATCACTTACCAATAAATGCATCACTTACCAATAAATGAGGAAAATCCAGTTTTCCCAAGAAGGGGCTAAATAGGGTCAATCCTGCCAGAGAACCACCCAATCCTTGTCTGTGGTATCATTCTAAATCTTAGACCACACTTTCAAGTGACCCTGTTTATCCCAGTCCGGTCTGTGATAAATTCATTGTCTCGCTGCACCCTTAGTCTTTTTCTTTCTTTCTTTCTTTCTTTCTTTCTTTCTTTCTTTCTTTCTTTCTTTCTTTCTTTCTTTCTTTCTTTCTTTCTTTCTTTCTTTCTTTCTTTCTTTCCTTCCTTCCTCCCTCCCTCCCTTCCTTCCTTCTTTCCTTCCTTCCTTCCTTCCTTCCTTCCTTCC